CAGCACAGAGAACTATTTGCAGTTGGAAGCAGGCCTCAGTATTTTTTTAAAGTAGTAGGCTCCCTCCCTTTCTGCTACCTAGGGGTACAATTTCCAGTCCTTTCTCCAAAAGAAACATTTGGCTTTCTATAGAGAACCTCTGAGACCTCATGTGACTGAAAATGGAAGAAGGGAAAGAGCCCTCATCACACCCCACCGGAGGACCCCCTGGGGAAGCTGAGGTTGGGCCCCTGTGGATCCATTTACTTTAGGAGGCACTTGATTCTGAAGCATTTGTTTCAGAAATTACCCCCATGCCCCATCAATAGTGGCTTTCAACGGGTCTTCCCTGGTGGTCTTGTCTCTTTTAAATTTCATTTCCTGTTGGAAAGGCCACTGTTTAGTGCCACTGACCCGACTGGGTTAACAGCAAACCAGGACCTGAGTGAGGCTGGGGAGCCAGGGTAGGATTGATGGGTGCAACAGAGTAGCCAAGAGAAAGATATTAAAGAATATCACACGATGAGTTTTATTTTACTGCTTCAGCATGTAACTGCCCCCCCAGGAACAGGAGCTATAAATGCAAGGCAGACAGTGTTATCAGCTGCCATGCTGAATTTGGCCTGAGGCCTTGGTGGGAACCTTGGCACCGCATTCACCCGCTGTGCCCACAGCCAAGTCCTTTAACTGGCATGAGCCCGTCCCCTCTCTGTTCTCCTGCCCAGGGCGACGTGAGCTCCAGTGAAGCGTGCAGCAGGCTTAGCAAGTGCACTACACCTGGCAGGTATCCCCACGCGGTAGCTGTGAACTGGCACAGATGGTATTCAACCCATACAACTTAACACCAGGTTGTCTACTACACACCAGACATTGTGCAATACGAGCACGCCCACAGATAAGACAGCCCTGACTTGAAAGAGGCAGGCACAAAGCAGACCATTTCAATACAGCGCAGTCAAGACTCCGCTCAACACAGACATAAAGAGATATGGTACCCACACGTGAAATATTCTGGGGGCCCTGTTGACAGCATGGTCAGTGGGGTGGAAGGAATTCCCTGCCTGTCTCTCCTTCAGAATGTAAGGTCCACCAAGCACTGCCTGTCTTGCTCAGCTCTATGCCCAGCAGGCGCACTGCGGGGAAAGGACGTGAGTGGGTGTCTAAGGCCATGCTGACCTAAAGAAGGAGTTGGCGAAGCGTAGAACGGGGTTCAAGATATGCTGTCAGAAGAAACTGCGTGAACAAAGGCATGCCCCTAAAGATATATTTAGGAAATTAGGAGGCAGGTCGTTGAGACAAATGGAACACAACATATGGCGTGTAGGTGAGGGGACAGGAGTCGACAGGGGCAAGCCCGTGGACAATCTTGTTCACCAGGCTAAGTGTGGTGCTGCATGGGTGAGCACTCACCTGTAAGGCCAGCTGCGGATGCGTGCTGAGTCCACAGGCCCTGAAGTCCCTCCTCCAAGCCTAAAATGCGCCTTTCTCGCGGGCCTGCCAAAGCACCTATGTTTGTATTTTTTATTATCAAGCCCAAAGTAATAACCACATTAACCAAAACCAGCTGTTACTTCTTATTCTCCAATTAGTTTATCAGATTTACTAGCCAGATCAATTTTCACAGCAACCATATGAGGCAACGTTTACTTTCTCATCCGACAAATGGGCAGACCAAGCACGGCGAGGAGGAGTGGCTAGCCCAGTCACGCAGGACGCCGGTCGTCGGGCAGGATGTGAACGCAGCCGCCTTGGCTCCAGAGTCCGTTCTCTTCACCACCGTATTATTTCAAATTTATCTTCCAGTTCACCATTTCTCTCCTTCGTTGAATGCACCTGTTGTTTAGCCCATTTGATGAATTTTTAATGTCTATTTTTGCCCTGGCCAGTTAGAGCGTCTGCCCGCCTACCAGAGCGTCCTGAGTTCGGTTCCTGCTAAGGGCACGTACCTCGGTTGCAGTTCGTATGGGCGGCAACCACTTGATGTGTCTCTCTCACATCAATGTTTCTCTCTCTTTCTCTCTCTCTTCCCTGCTCTATCTGAAGATGATAAAAAAAAAAAGTTAAAAATAAATAAATAAAATGTCTACTTTTCTGTCATATTATCCTGTACTTGCCCTGTAGTTTCTATTCCTCTTTCATCGTGAACCCCTTTCTAACAACAGCTCTACTCTCAGATGCTCCATTGCCTTTAGTTTCTAGCATAGGAAACTGTCCACGTGTCCTAACTGCTGACTCTCGCGAAGGGTGGCACTGTGATATTTAAAAGGAACTTAACATCAGCAGGAGCTTGCTGCTGTTGTTTCGAGTTTTCAAATTTTGTTTTTGGTGGAAGATCCCCATGCACTGGGATGTTGAGATACTTTCATGACTTGCTTTTAGGTTGTCCCCTGTCACTACCTCATAGTTTCATTAATTCCACACCAAGTTTTTACATGATCTTAGCTTGTGGCTTGCACACTACAGGAGAAGGACCCAACCCCGTACCCATGCTCGGCGTAGGCTTGGTTTGGATTTCTCCGGGGCGATCCCAGGGAGCCAGGGTGGTTGACAGACTTCCATCCCAGAACCTCAGCAGAAACGTCCTCATTTCATGCTCCGGCCAGTCATTCCTCACTGACGGCTAGCTATGCAGGAGGTTGTTTGCTATGGCCTCAGCTCTCAGCCCCGTGGGTACTGAAACTTTAGCCCGTAAGAACCATGCATACTTCCCATGTTTTCATAGGACCTTCTGTTTAACTCCTTCTCGCGGATCGCTGCTCCATCACTGCGCTTGCTCTTCGTGTCTGGCACCTGGGGACTCCTGCTTTTTGCACACCCGTCTGGAAATGGATTCCCCCCACTGTATATTTCCACCAGCATTTCTCTGTGATTAGATAATTGTCCCTTGACAGCCCAGTCTATCACTCTCACCAGAAGGTTATAAGTAAGCATTGAGATATCAGTCTTTCCCTTGTGGAGGACAGAGACCTTTGTATGATTCATCTTTCGATCCTGATTCTTCAGACAGTGCCCAGACCCGAGTAGGAAGCACTGAAGATGTGATCAATGAATGAATAGATTAATCAGCTTTCTCTTTTATTCTAAGTGGGGATGAAAGACCACACACTCATTATCTTCTAGAGAAAGAATACACCACAAATCCCTGGAAAGAGCCTGTTGAACAAACCACAAAGTTTGAGGCCTGCCTGAGTTCAGCCCTTTGGCCAGTGGGTTCATGACCACTGACACTTAGTGCCAACTCCGCGTAGGTGTAGTAGAAACACAAAGGCTGCAGGCCAGGTCCCTCGCGGGTGCTCTGCTGCCCTCCAGCATGCACTGATGTGTGCTGTGCAGTCAAGTCGTCTTTCTGGTTGGCCAATCAGGTTCAGACTCTCGAGAGCACTGGGCACAGTGCTGACAGAGTGGGCAATGAGTTAATGTTTAGTGTCTTTAGAAACCATTTGTAAACACTGGTTGAACACCGACTGCCTCCTAGGCATGGTGCTTGGTGCTGGAGATGGAGAGGAATAACATGCAGTCCCTATTCTAATCCTTCATTAGAAAAAGAATGCCCAGATCGAATTTAGCAACAACTCATCCTTTGGTTTAAGGTGAAGAGACATCTCCTCTCATCCCATCACCCTAAAATACCTAAAAATATATAACCAGCAAAATAACTTCGCCTATTACTGTTTTGTAACATTCTCTCCCCTCAGGAAAATACAACTCCCAGTGAACAGATAAAAGAGAGCCGATCATCAAAGGCGATTCTGGACCATGACTTTCGAGCTCCTTTTATCATGAGAATCCCCGAACCTAGAATCATGCCTGAACTCCAGCGGAAACTTAGTAATGTCTCTGCACACATAGATGTGGATGTGGCCCCTCCTCTCTATGTCCTCACATGTCGTGTGACTCATCATTCCACACACACGTATTGAGGATTTCCTATGAACAGCCGTCTGTGTGAGATTTTGTGATGGAAATTAAGAACAAGACAGATATTTTACCTACTGGGATTTTCAGGGTTGAGGGCGAGATGTCTAGGTGTGTCAATCGCCGTGACACAACATGGAAAATGCAACCAGGAGAACAGAGAAAGGGCTATGGGAGTTCCAAAGCACAGGGATTAGGTAAGACTAGGGCTAATATAAATTTACGCTCAAACTTGAAGGAGACGTAATGTGCAGCCTTGTAGAAGGGAGAGGACGGGCATTGGCGAGGAAGGAAAGGCAATTCAGGTGGAAAGAATGGCTGAGACAAAAGCAGAGGGGCAGAAAAGCACAGGCTGTATAGAAAGAAATACAAAGTTGGCTGGAAATGCATAAAGGGGACTAACGAGAAGTAAGGCTGGAAAGGTAACGTGAGCCAGTTGCAGGGGCTTCAGATGTGTCCTGATTTATCATTCTGGTAGTAGGTCCTCTACAGAGTAGCTAGGGCTTGGCACGCGGTGAGGCTTAAGTAACACTGTAACAATCTCCTAGTAGGACCCTGCACCCCACACGCTCGGAGGAAGCTGCCAGTTGTGTGCACTGGCAAATTACCACCTTCCACATGCTCTGCCCTGACCCGCAAGCAGTGCAAATAGTCACTCTACAAGGTCACCCAGCAAATGGCTCTGATCAATCCGGGCTCAGGCGGAATCAAATCCCCTAAATAAGACCCACTAGATGCCGTGTCAGGAGGGTCAGAAACAACCCTATTTCACATCTTGAAGCACTTTCACCATGTGGAACATTTTAGGGGAAGAAGGGAAAGGAAAGAGAGAGAGAGACAGAGACAGAGGAGAGGGAGGGTGGGAGGGAGGGAGAGGGGGAGAGAGAGAGAGAGAGAACGAGAACCTCTCCAGAAATAATAGAATTCCAGGTCATTAAATGTTAAATGATCACAAAGCAAGCAGGGAATGTATTTTGGTCCCCACGTCTTTCTAGTGATCTAAAAAGCAGTTGATTCCAAAGTAGGCCGTGCCAGGGTTCAAAATGGAGTCTCACGCCCCCGTCCTCCAGCTCCCCGGTGTGTCCCCACTGGGTCCCCACTGGTACCTCTGTCCAGCTCGCTCGAAATGTTCCACGATGAGGTAGGCACTAACTCAGCAGTGACGGACAACTCTGTTTCTGAAAAGAAAAAGAAGGGAGGGGAGAGAGACAGGGGCAGCATTAACCACAGGAACTTATGGGCTGTTAGAAGCATTACAGGAGATTTGCAAAAGCCCTGTCTCCTGAGAGCGACGGCGGCCATTCCACAGCTTATTCACGAGTGACAGCGGCTCCCCTCGCCTGGCGGAGGTGCCTGCTTCACGGAGGCTATCCAGATGGACACTCTGTAGGCCACATCTGAAGTTTTTTTTTTCTCTGAAGCACAGGCTTAAAAATTAAAATACAAATATTTCATTAATGAGCCCGGCTGGTGTGGCTCAATGGTTGAGCGTCAATCCATGCACCAAGAGGTCACTGGTTCGATTCCCAGTCAGGGCACAAGCCCAGGTTGTGGGCCTGATTCCCAGTGCAGGGCATGCAGGAGGCAGCCAGTCGATGTTCTCTCTCATCGATCTTTCTATCTCTCTCTCCCTCTCTTTTCTTCTCTCTCTAATAATCAATAAAGAAAAAAAAAGTTTTTTAAGTTTCATTAATGAAAAACCAAGCCTGCAGAAATCACTAGCCATTATGAAACATAAACTCTTCCATTTCTTGTTAGAAGACCAGTCTTAGATGATTATATTCAAGAGTTTTCCCATGAAAAATAAGAAAGAACAGTATTGCTTTTGCTGCTGATTTCATTTGTGTTTGTGAATTGATAGCATCTATATTCATAGAGAAACCTGTTTCTCTATATTGAAACTTCTAATCAAGACAAATGAAAATATTTGAATACGAAGAATCATCTGTGGTTAAATAAACTTAAAAGATAATTTTCAAAGCCACCATAAACTAAAACCAATATGCAAATAAACAATCTAAAGGATATAATATACTATGAAGATTTAAAAACTCCTCACTAATATACTATAATAATATAAATGATCATTTTGTTGTTTTTGAAAATTTAAGCCTTATACTATCCTACTAGCACATTTTCATAGGATTACACTAATCTCCCTTTAGGTGGTGTCTACACACACACACACACACATACAATATTATACAACTTAAGTGCTGTGCAGGATCTCAGAGAGCCCAGAGCCTGGGTCATTAGATATATGGTACCCACGCTTAGATTCCCCTTCCTTCAATCTGGTGCAGATATCATTAATTAATTATGGCCCTTTTGTCTAGTAAACCTGGAATATGCCTTAGAGTCTTTTCAACACAGTCCTCTAGGTAATCACTAAAAATGGATCTGAGTTGGAACGCAGGGTGCATTTTAGTAAGTGGAGGAATTGGGATTCAAATCCAGTTTTGTCTGACCACCACTCATACAATTCCCAGCAGCCCATGCTGCCTCGTCCTCAGGCCTGTGAAACCCACACTGTTTCGTCTCACCTCTGTCCCGCTTCACCTTTTCACCTAGATAAGCACACTTCCACATTTCCTTATTTGCTGATGGGGACTGTCTGCCATATGGCCATAGACGCCACACGCCACTGTCAGTGAGCTTTGCCAAGGACAGGATGTTTACCTGCCGAGACCTTGCGGGGGCCCACTTGTAGTTTGTCTACTGGGTCCTCAATCAACCTGCCACGCACAGCAGACAAAAGGGCTGTTTGGCTTGTACATACTCCCTTGGCTGGCCTCTTTCCCTGTCCAGGTGGGAAAGAAAGTAGAGACCACACATACCCTCCCCATCTCAAATGGCCCCTGACACCTCCTACATCCTGAGCCCTCGCCCCCCTAAAAAGCATAATTTCTTTTAAGGGGACCTGAAGTCAGACTGGCAGTATGACAGGGATCTTAAAGCACATAAAATTCCAAAATATGAAACCAAAAAGAAAAATGTACCAAATAAGGAAATTCCTACACACAAACACAGAAGGCAGTGCTTCTGCTCTCAACCCCCCCGTCCTGGGGCGGGCACTCCGTGCAGGTGATTTCACCAGGAGGCGCTCATGTCCCCACTGCAGGGCGCTTGGAGCAAGGCCCTAGCCACAGGTCCACTCTGCCCCCCCGCACCCTCGCCGCTGCCACCCCCTTTGGCTCTTTGAAGAAAAGCCCCTTGTTCACAGTAGCACTGGCCACTGCGGCTGGCCTTAGAAAAAGGTTCATCGGGCACTCCAACACCCGGAGTTCGGGGAGCTGGGGAGCCCCAGCACTGGGGCCAAGGCGGCATTTCAGGCCTGAACGCTCAGGGTGGGAAGTGGTGGGATGCAGACAGATCTTGACAACATTTACATTCGATATTTTCATAGCTTCATCTTACTGCTGCTCACCGTTCAATTGCCGGCCATAGAGGTTTCATTTTGCAGTACTAATTTTACAGAAAGTTAGTTGTATGTCACTTGGTTTTTCTAACCAGAGTTTGAATTGCTGATTAAAGATAATTTAGGACTGATGACAAACGAAGAGATTCTTGGCACTGTGAACAGTGAAACTGTCCCCACGTGTCCCTGGACAATAATCACCACTCAGTGCGTGGGCTACAGCAGAGATCACTGCAATTCACAAGCTCATTAAAGGGACTGTGATGATTCCGAGGAATGTTGTTCTCGGCCTCAAGCTCGGTTCCTTTCGATAACCACATGTTCGGCTTCTCAGATACAACGATAATAAAAACAGATAAAATGTTTAAAAACATGAATAATCTCCCTCTGAAAAATATTATCTTGAGGCCACATTTTTTTTGAAAGGTTGATTATTTTCTGCGAAAAGTTTAGTATTAGTCATTCCCCTCACAAAAATAATGTCTAATAAGGTCTCCCCACCCCTCACCCCCCCAACCCCCGCCAAAAGGAAAGTTGAACTTTAAGTGAGAAAATCTGAGCACATCTCAACTTGACCTCCATTAATTCCAGGGTCCGCAGCCGCGTCAGAGAGAGAGGACCCCCGGTCTTGACCCTGTAGTGTCTCCACAGATGGATTCAGCTCCTCTCCAGTCCTCACCATGGCTAAAGGATGGACTATTTAATACCAGACCAGTGGGCTCTCTTTGTGTGCAATTATTGTGGTAACAGCAAATGAGTATGTGTCAATTAGGACACAGTACGATATTTAATGGAAACAGACACCTAGATTAAAATACTAAATTCTGCCATTGACTAATTCTGTGACCATGAGAAAGTTGCTTTTCTATAAGACGGGGACAATACAGGCATCTCACAGGACTGCAGTTAAGGATTAAATTAGATAATGGACGAAAAGGGACCTGTCCAGTGCCCAGCACAGAATGGACACTCAGAGTCTTTCCTGCCTCCCGTCTAGTACGGCAGGTCGCAGCCATCCCGAGTCTACGAGGACACACTCCGGTTAGCTGCTACGTGACTGTCTGGGTCTGAAGGAACACACAGGCCATGCTTTGAGAAAGATTCTATTTCACATGCCTTACTAATCCAAAGCAATCTTTTCATTTTGTGAGGTTTTCCTGAATTGGTCACCAGTTCTCTAAGAACATAAGTGTTTTATGTGGTTTGATCCAATTTGGGCAAATCGAGCATGTTTTAGAAAACTCCAGCTCTTATCTTTCCTGACCTCTGGGGGAGGGCAAACCATTCTTCTCCCGATTTGATCAATAGGCGCTATTATCTCTGCAGTTTCACTGACGATTGACTTTTTGGCACCGACTCTGCGAACCATACGGTTTTGGTATTCAGGCCTGAACAGTGGGAGTGTTATTTGGAGGGAAGGGTGGGGGGACGCCTTGAATCCTCCTCATTGATAAAAGCTTGTGCTTTCCAAAAGGGTTCCTGGTTCATCTCAGCCGTTGGCAGGTAAAGCCCCAACACTCACAGGATGTAGAAGCTCTTCCAAAGAGCACCCCGCCACGCCACATCCTGTGTCCGATCCAGTGACACGTGAGGTTACGTGGGCACAGACCAGCGTACTCATGACAGAAGCATCCAACCCAGCAGTCACAAAGCAGAGGGAAGGAACGGGGGCTACCCCAGTGCCTTTCCTTAAACGAGGCAGAGCCATTAATGTGTTGAAGAAAGAAATTTTTAAAAAATATATCAAAACTTGTGGTATTGGTCATTTTTCTATCTAGAAGAAATTGAAGGGGAGGAAAAACGTTCTCCAGGTTTCCTCAGTGTCTACGAGGCTCTGCTTGCGCTCAGAGATCTTCTCAGCAATTCCATGAGGTAGGTTCCAACCTTATCTTCCCTCCAAGATCGGAGAACTTGAGCAGGACATACTAAGGGACTTGCCTACTTAGCTTGTTGGGGTGGGGGATGGGGGCTGTGATCAAACCCAGCCAGTCTGCAGGCAGAGCCAGGGTGTCTCAAACTGCCAAAATGGGGTGGGGTGGCGGCTGAAAGGTGTACTCACTGGCTCTCGGACCTAAGCCCCCCTCAGCCCAGAGGACCCTGTGAACTCAAAGCTCTGAGGAACACAGTCTGACAACCAGTACCAGAGGCTACACTCCTCCCCCATCCGTGCCTGGCTCCCTAATTCTAAAACCTAAATAGGATTGTGGGCAACACAAAGGGAGGAGAGAAACACTTCTCGATCCCACTTAAACGCAGCCCCCCCCCCCCCCGGAAATACTGTTTATTTCTTTAAATCTGCTAAATTAATATTTCAGATCACTCGCAGTTCTTGAATTTAAAGGAATTATGTTACACAAAACACCAAGATGACACAGAAATAGTCTTGAAAACGATCTTACTGGACACTATCATACTTGGGTTCTCTTCCATGGGACTCTAGGGATTCACACACTCATTCACGCCTCTGACACACATGGGTGCGGGCACTTCCCCGGTGTAAGAACTGGGATGAAAAAGCTTGACCTGGCCCCTAACAATGATCAAGAACTCACAGTCTATTGGGAGAGCAGTAAAGGGACACAGAAATAAACAGAGTCACAGGGCAACCGTGGAAACCGCCGGAAACAGACTCCTCATCCCATGAGTCATTCCTCCCAACCAAAGACACCCAGACTACTGAATAAAATATGGCAAGAAAAAGTACAACGCACAGCTGAGATAGAAGGAAAGGGACATTCTCGGGTGCCAAAATGGAGAGAA